AACGGATCTTTGCAGGTGAAAAAAATGAATGAAAAGGAGAGAGAGAGAGCTGCTGCAAAATGTACCTTAACGCAACTCAAACTCAACTTACTGAATGACCTGCATTAAAAAAAAAACTTGTTCCACTGTGAGGAGAATGATGGAGTAAATCTATAGATAAAAAAGCAATTATCCTGAATTGATTTTTATATCAAGGAAAGAAATAAATAACATGCAGATATAATAAGATAAAGCAAACAGATGTTTAACCTTTACTGATTAGCCTCAAAGGCTGAAATCACTACAGCAACACACGTGGTATAAGAGGCTACTTAATTGTGGACCAGGACTTGGTTCAATCAGCACTGATTGAGACCACAATTAAATCACCTCTGACCGAGCGAGCCCAGCTGAAGAGGCAGAAAAGTCTGTTTTTAAAAACATACAAAAGAAGCAAACTGGATTACTTTTTAAAAGTTAAATTAAACTTAATGTCTTTAGACGTTTAGCCTCATTTTCTTAATTTTATAAATGTATATAAGCAAACTGCACAACTATTTGATAAACTTATCCATGGCTATACCAGTGTCAATGTGTTTGATACACCATGGTATCACTGTGTGGTTTATGTGCAATCAAAACACCAAGACACTGAAGTTGATTGAAATAACTGGCGTGCCTCAGGGCTCTATTTTGGGACCTCAGTTGTTTCCAGTATTAATAGTATTAATTGAGGTGTTTTATGTATGCATGCATCACCTCAATCCTTTACTCTGTGGACTCTGTGGAGCTCCGAGGTTCAGTACAAATCTTAGATCTTTAACTCATCATTCTTCTCTGTATGATCCAGTTAGCTGGCCTGTATAGTCTGCACGAAGGCTAAATCACCAGCATGTCTTTATTTAGAAGTCAGTTCTTAATGTGCTCCTGTCTAATTTGAATAATATGAAATATATATTTAATTAATATGAAAAATGTCAGAAGCTACAGTCTTCGCTCTGTGACCCAGACACGGGACTTATTTTTACTTTCTGTCCCCAGAGTGTGTCCTAAAATTGGTAAGAAGAGTTTTAGGTCTTCTGTTCCTGCAGCTTTGAATTTACAGCAGGAGAGTTTGGATCAGAGGGACCTGGTTCCCCTGTAAGTGTTTTTCAATTAGACTGATGGCAGTAAAGGAGGATGCATCAGGCTGTAGATGCTTTGAATGAGGATTTCTGTGATGTGAAGCAGGATATTTTAATTTAAAAAATGTATATGTCTATAAATTTGTTGGAGGATGCTGCTGCTGTCTTTGCAAGGACACTCTAGAATTTTTTCCCCAATGAGGTTTAAATGAAATTTAGATTTAAAATAAGTGGTCAACACTCCTGTGTCATGTCATCTGTAGATCTTAGTATTATTGCTCATCATGGATATTTGTCATTACAGTGTAAATATGAACAGTCAGATTTTGTTTGAATGTCTGAGATCAAAATGGAGATCAGTGTCTGAATCAAAACTGGAGTTATAAAAAATGCAATTACAGATATAAGACACCAAAAACCCAAACCACATAAATGGAAAATATTCATTTTAAATTCTCAAATTGATCCTGGGAAAACTTTCATCTTATCTCAGTAGACTTCTGTATCAGCTCTGCTTGGTACCAGTTCTGATCCTCTACTTTATGACTCTTCACTCCACCTGACTTCTGACCGATATGAGAAGTGCCTTTTCCTTCAACACCCCTCAGGCATGGGATACTCTTCAAAAAGAGCTAAAATTAGACAGACTGATATCACTTCACAAATCCAAGAAAGTCCTGAAAAATGTGGAGATAGATGCAGGTGGTTTTTCTTGGCAGACCACCTTTTTCAAACTTAAAGGAACTTTTGGTTTGTGACAACTTTGGTGCCCTTTTGCCTATTATGTCCTTTTATCTGTTATTTGGGAACTAACTTCTTCTGGTATTTGCTGGTCACTCAGAGCTACCTTTGTTCCCTTCAGAACCAAACACCAATCCAATATATCAGGACTGCCTGGGAATAAGATTTTGGATTTTGTGGGAGTCAAATCCTCAACCTGTGGAACCTGCCTACTTCATTTGGAGTGGTCCACAGGTCCAATATATCCAAGGCCAAGCTGTCTAGCATTAACCCTGATGTGATCATATGTTACAAATGCAAATTCTGTAGTTTAAATGTACTGGCTGTGTGCTAAATTACAGAAGTTTTGGCAAGATGTTGCAACTCTTTCCCTGTTCGGTATCGGACGCCTTTGGTTTGCTCTTGGCTAAATGTGCAATCCTGTTTAAACGAAAGGATGTGAAGTCTGTAAGGTGTAAGGGAGTATTTCTTTTTAGACATGGGACCCTTTTTGTCCTGACACTCAAACAGTGGCTGTGCTTTAATCATAAAGGTTTAAATGCTGCATCTGATACTGCTGTCACTGCGACAGAATTTTGCTTATCTTTAATTATCTCGTACAAACTACTGCGCTCTCTGTGATAACTCTCAATGTTTCTGCCAACCCAGGTGCAAAACTCACACAGATCTGAGAGAGAAAATTCTTGTTGCTAATGGTCTTGTTTGCTTTTGCATATAAAAAAAAAAAATCAATATGAATTTCATAAACAGTAAAAAGAAAAAAAACTCCTCACAGGCGTTTTAATGTGACTTCCTGTGTTGTGTTGTTTATTTTCACTGTGCTTGTAAAATGCACCACCTCGGACAGAGCTCTCTTGTAAATTGGATTTCTCAATCTCTGTGGAACATCATGGTCAAATACAAGTATATTAAAGTAAAACACAAAAACTCTGATGGAGAAGACGTGTTGTGGATGTTTTGAAGGACAACTCCGGATGTTTCACGGTGTCCTATTTACTGAGGAACAGCGAGTACATTCATTCTTATTCCATTTTTAACCTCCCAAGTTCAGCCTCCTTTAGTAGTCTAACCTGTATTGTCAAAGTAAGACATATCAAAATCTAATCTGAGCTGAAAGGGTGTTATTGTGATACAATTTAAAACATTTCTGACAAGGTTAAATGCCTCTAATGTTGCCCATAATGTAATAAAAGATAGACTGTGATTAAATGAACAGTTGAAATTGGCGTGATTAATGGATACGACTGCCACAGTGTGACATTAGAGTTGGGGGAGGGAGTTACCTTCGAGTTTTATGAATTTCGTGATGACTGTAATGAAGGCTAGAAAGAGAACTGCATCAGCGTCACAGAAGAAAAGAGCTTTTTACTTTCTAAAGCATGACCCTGACCGACGCTTTCTCTTCTTTTCACACGTCTTAGGCTGTAAATTTGTGCCAGAAAAAAGCATCTACTTTATAAAAGAAACAAAACCTCAGTGACAGCTGAATGTATCTGTGTGTGTGAATATTAAAGCTCCTGTAGGGATTTTTTTTGATCGTTAGGAAATGGACTAAAATCATATTGAACCTTTTTTATATCAAAAACCATCAGCAACAAGCTTTATGATTTTTACATTGTAAGAAAGTGATGGGAGGGGGTAGGTACCAGCAGAGCAGCTAAGGAAACAACCCTGTTTTTACAATTTCCACATGTTATGTTAAAAACTTGTGTCATGTTTCACTGTCAAAAGTCTGCAGGATGACACTTTGGGTCTACTCAAGCATATGAAGGATGAGAAACAAAGACTGCTTTGTCCACCGGGGGCCTCAGAGTTCCTCACAGGAGCTTTAACTATTTTTATATTTTCACTTACTTATGCTCAAAATGAGGCACCTAGGTATAAACTTAAACTGAAGCATGATCATACAAGATGTAACACTGAGTCTTCTTAAAAGCTCTGTAGTCGTTTCATCATCACCAATCTGGACGTCTTCGTCAGCGAGGAGTTTGTTTTGATTGTAGAGCTCGACTTCTCTGGCTGCAGAAAATTCAGTTCACATTTTTCATCTGCTTTTGTGCATCAAACGCTAACTCTCCTTTTTGAAGCGATTTGCTCTCCGACTGAAAATAAAAAAGGAGATCAAAGCGCAGTTTGCTGAGGCTGAGTCTCAGGTACGAATGCCAAGTGTGACATGAGGAAAGAGTTGAGCAGAAGTGAAAGGAGCGTTTTAAACTGCTGCCTCCTGTTTCTGTGGAGCCTTTTTTTGATGACAGACATGATTCTGTAAAAAGCATTCCTCTGCCGTTTCCTATCTCTGTAAATCAAGATCCACTCGCCGCATTTCTGTTTCACTTCAGACTCTCCACCGTGGTCGTCCTATCCTCATCAAAGGTTAAATCTGCTATTATAATCAGGCTGTTGGCTCAGGTTCGACGCGGCGGCCGCTCCGCTCAGATAAGCCTGTCGCAGCCCGGTGGCCTCCTGCCTGTGTTCAATTTGTCACAGCTCTCCCACGTCACACCGAACCCACGCGTCCACAGATGGAGACTGAAGGGATCGAGTCACTGCTGCTTTGCTCTCTCTGTGTCAGTGAAAACTCAGTGCTGATCAGGCTAAATCTCAAGACTTTACATTGAAAGTCGAATGTCTGTTTTTGTTTCCCATCATCTCAAATCCATGTCAGCTGATTTGAGTCAAGACGCTGAGGTTAGAGATCAATTTATTGAGTTCAGCCAGTATTTTGTCCGAGGTATTGTTGATTGATTTCTATCGACTATTTGAAGTATTTCTTAAATCCCCAAATTTTCTAGTGAGTTTAACTTTTAATTTGATTCATTTGAAGTAAATTTGGGGAAATTAGGGGCCACGTTAAATAGAAAGGATCACAGTCCAGTAGGGGGGTCAAGTCTGGAGAAATAAAAAAATCAAACAGGACAAAACTTTTGTTTTTTTCGTTATCACTTTATGATAGGAGAAATAAATACATCCTTGTTTCATAATGAGTCTCTGTGCTTCGGACAGACAACTTTACAAAGATAATTTCTGTTACAGTTCAGATTCAAAAACATAAACAAGACGTACAAATGTTAGAAAAATTCACAGGAGCAGCAACATTTGGACTTTTAGAAAACACAGACTTACAATATTTCAAAACAAGGACCACATGGAACTCTCTTACGCCTTGGTGATGTAGCCCTCTTTGATCAGGAAATCGTAGATTTTGCGGGTCTTGTTCACGTCGATCTTGATCAGGGCCCGGGCCTGGGCCAGACGCAGCCCGCCCTGCCGTCTGCACTCATTTAGCAAAGCCTGCTTGTACTCCAGGTAAGCCCCGGGCACCAGACGCACCACCTGGCATAACTAGAGGCACAGAACAGACGCTCGGGTCATTGTGTGGAGTCACATTGACGGGGACAGCTCTAATTAGCTCCATTAAATACTCCGTTATGACTGGAAACCTCTTCTTGTTGTTTCACTTACACGCATGTTAGCTATTGTATATTCACAAACTTTGTTTTTTAACAATTAGGCATGTCAATTCTTTTTCAGAGAGAAAAATCAAAAGTTCTGTTTAGAGAAAGTAACAGTTAATATCAGTCAATCTTATATGATATGAGCTGATATTAAATTAAGGGTTACCAGACCTGGAGTCCAGGTGGGTCCTACTTTGTGTTTAAGCTCTAGTCTTCTTACATTTAGAGACAAATCTTCTACTTTAAGTATCTTTTACTGTTGTTTTTATTTAATTTTATTTCTTAAATTTCATTCTATGTTTCTTTGTTGTAGATTTTAACCTTAACCTCCAGTGTTTCCTTATCTTGGGTTTTAAAAGGACGTTTCATCAGTGCACACACTCCTGTTCCCACGAAATCAAGCCCTTTTTATGTTCATGCATTTAATACTGTTTCTGTTGCATTTAGATCGTGGGGTGGGAATGAGGGGTTGGGCTGGGGTACATTTGGGTATTCTTTGTTTCTTTTATTCCTTTTTCTGTGTAAAGCACTTAGTGCTACATGTTGTGTATGAAAAGTGCTGTATATAAATAAAGACTGAAATTACTTTTTCATTCAATCATTCATCAAAGAAGAACAGAAGTCCACAACTTGCAGACTTTACACAATCATTGACCAAAACAGGAGAAAACTAAAGCCTAAGGCGTGTTTCTGCTTTTCAAAGACAATCAATGATATAGAGCCCTTGAAAAACAGCACCACAAAGAAGTAAAAACCCAAGAATACACTCCATTATTCATTTTATGGTTTAACTTTTTTTAATTGCTCCTTTCTGGAGTTTAATCCTAACTGTTTTAAATTCATCTCCCTAAACTTAAGCACAATGAGTCATGTTTGGCACTTTCCTCCTGGGTTTGCTGTAGAAGCACGAAAACTAGCGAGCAAAATTTCCCTTCCTAATGTAGCCTCTTTACAGCTTTTAAACATTTCTACTTGCTCTCAAGAGGAGAGAATTTTTCATGCATAAGTGAGGTAGACTGTGTACTTTTAGTGAAACCCAAGAAACAACCTCCGCTCTTGAGAAATGATTCCAATGCAGACGTGTTAAAAGTTAAGTTCTCTGAATGTTGGCTTGAGGCTGCAAACATTAAAACATGTTTACAGCCTAGTTTAAAGAACAGATCAGGTCTGAACAGTTTGTATTTCGTTGTCATGTGCTCCAGCGTGTAAACCTTAATATCATATGTGTGTCTCATCGTATAGTTTAAAGAAAAACAGCAAACATCACATCCTTTGACACTTCCCCTGCAGCAGCAGCTTGAGGCTTTAAAATTACTAAATAGAAACTATTTTTTCTTGTCAATTATGGTCTTATTTACAGGGTGGCAGCATGAAAGTCAGCCCATTTTAGAACCAGCCAAGAACTCCTCATATCAGCTTTAAAACTGCACTGAATGGAGCAGCATGTGTCTGAAACTGTAATCTTAAGCAGCCACTCAAAGTCTAGAACAAGAAGTTTTTAGCTTTGTGTTCAATCGTTGCCCTAAAAAAAAACACGTTAAAGTCTGGGATCTTTAGACGTGTTCGACATCCTCCTTCAAGTGAAGAATCCTAAACTCTTCCTGTTTGACCTTTAAAAAACACAGACGTACCTCTTTCTCCCGCTCGTTGAGTTTCTCCGTCCCCGGCAGCCCCGTCAGGTTGAGAGGAGGAGCGCTCCGCCTACCTGTCGCTGTGGAGCACAAATTCAAAAACCATCAAACTCACATATCAGATAACATAATAGCAGGCTGACACCATGCAGATAATCCGGTTATTTAGAGGAGACAAGAAGAAATATCTGAAAGTGCAGCCTGGTGGGAGTATGTGTCATTTTAGTCCTGGGGTTAAAAAAGCTCGCTCATACAGGAGAGACACAGCCAGATAAATATTCATGCAGGGGGTTATTTTTCCAGTGTATTTATGGATGAGTGTCTGCATTGATCTGACTGAGCCTAGGGCCATGCCGAGACGACAGCAGGGAAAAAGAGCACAGAGGTAGAGGTGGAGAGAAGCCTCATACCTGACACTGTGATTGTTGTGACAGCTGGAGTGATGCCGGCATCTCTGTGATCACAAAGAAGAATGTTAGCACCTTTACGAGCTTATTTATACGCACACAACAGTCAGACTTACACACAGCATTTCTGGGTTATGTTCACCATTCCTACTCAAGGATCAACATCCAAAAAGGATGAATCATCTCTTTCAAGTGTTTTTTTTTTTTAGGTGAGATAATGAGACGAACTTGAAAAAATAACACCCACAGAAAAGGCCTCGGATGAAGAAACAGGAGCAACAGAACATGAAAAGACTAAAAATACAGAAGAGACAGGATGCACGGTAACTTCAAAGTCTAGTGTGTTCTTCCCAGAGAGCGGTGACAGAGGTCAGCGTCTCCAGAGAGAGCGACTTCACCAGCCTTTCATTTACACACGGAGTAACAGGCAGGAAGTCTCACATTGCAGCCTGTTTGCTGAGCCACTGCTGGCACGCTCGGCCGTCCTGGATGTACTGCAGGACGTCACACAGCATGGTCCGCTTCCTCCGCTCCTCCTCCCGCATTCGCTTCACCCGCTCATACACCTTGGCACCTAAGAGGGGTCGCACAGAGAGGGTGATGAGAGCGATCAGGAACAGAGAATTAAAAAATGTTTGCTCGCTGTTTCCAGGTGAAAAAAAAACATGTTTTTAATGAACGAGCAAGGTGTAATTTACCCAAACAATTCATTATGTAAATGTCTTATTAATTCTGCCAACAATTCTCTGATATCAGTCCAAGACCAGCTGATAAAGCAGCTCGATAAAATATTCAGCTGAGCTCTCCTTTGTGTGCGTTGCATCAGCAAACAAGCCAAACATTATAATTCCAAAAACTGATCCAAAGACTTGATACACTGAGCTGCTGCTTATGCAAATAATAATTAAAAACAATTTAGAGCCAAAGTCGAAATAAGACTTCAGCTCCCCTCTGCATGTAAACACATTTCCCCCTGCTTACTCCTGCAACTTTAAAATGAAGTTTCTCCGAACAGAGGAGTGAAAAGGTCAGACGTGACTCACTACAGAAAGACTTGATCCCCGCTTTTCTGTACTCCTGCAGCCTGCGGATCTCTCTCCGCAGCTCGAACTCCACTGCAAGGGAAAAGAGATGAAGGTAAATCCTTACAAACTGTTACAAAGAGAGGCGGCTGAACTCTCTCTCAACACTCTTTTACATCACTCAGGTTCATACGGAGTTCACATCAAGTTCAGGACATAAATAATGTGGCTGTTGTTTACAGTTCAAGAGAAATTCAAGGGAATAGTTTTAAAACTTTATCTGTCCTTGCTGAGAGACTAGTTGAGGATCCCACCATTCTTATTTCTGAGCTCATGAATAAAAAGCAAAGGAAGGTTTGGCGAAGGATATTATGCAGACTGGAAATGAGGAGGCCTGCCTCTTCTGTAGAGACGAGCCTAAATCTACAGCATCCTTCATCTAAACAGAGCTTTACTGAGAGCTCACTGTGAGATACGACTTTTACATTAGTTTACAGAAAAGCAGAAGCTTCACATGAGTCGAATTTGTCTTCAAAGCTGTTGAGTTGGATTGAATTAGGGTGGAAACACAGCGGGATCGAGAAGCAATTTGATCAAACTTCTTGAATGGGCTTCAAACAACGGAGCTTTAAACGACCACGGTCCGTGTATTATACGTCCATTCAATTATTCCATTCAATCTAGTAAACAAAAAACAAGTCAACATTTTGTTTATTTGTTTTTCCTCATTACAAAAAAATAAATAAATTGTGTTTGTTTTCGTTTTTTCGGCTCAAAACAGAACATATAATAGAGAAGGAAATGAAAACGAAATAAATATTATTTACAATTATTGATTTTGAGTGCGCCTGTGATGAGCATACATGCATAGAGGCTACACCGGCATTCCCATGATCCTCAGTGACAGTTACCATGGCGAAAGATGCGACAGAGCGGTTCGAGCGCCAATATCTTACATTGTAACAGAGATCTGGTTGTAATTTTTCCTACAGTCATATCTTCCTCCTTCAGCGTGACCCTCCTGGTGGCTTTAAATAATACGTAGGATGCGTCCGTCTCCATGACAGCAGGTTAGCCTTTCTCTAACACTCAACGAGTTTTTGGTCCATTTTGTTGTACATGTGCGAACAGTAGAAAGGCACTGTGGGAAATGGTGACATCAATAACCCGAAAACAAAAAGTAGACTTATTATTTTGTTTTAGTTTCTCTCTCTATTACATATTCTGTTTTGAACTGAAAACACAAAAACAAACACTATTTTTTTTTATTTTTGGTTATATAGAAAAACAAATAAACAAAATACTTACTCGTTTTTTTTCATTTTTCGTTTCCTAGATTGAATGGAATAACTGAATGGACGGATAATACATGGACCTACCACACAACAGTATTAATGTTTCCTATTTCCCTCAGAAGTTAGTGGGGACCCCAGAAGGAGCTCAGAGACAGTAAGTATTCCATTTGGGTTCACCAGGCGGAAACAAAAATGACTGCCACATGTCGAGCTAAGCTAAGTAGGCAGTCTTACATTACAGTGAAAATCAAAGATCAACTCTCAACAGGGACCGATTAAATTCACACTATTTGTAACTGATGACACATTTTCTGAGCCTAATCACGTGTACTGAGCCGGATACTGACGCGCGTGACCCTCGATGAATTTGTCATGTTCGATTGGTCCAACCACCCTGGCGAATCGCCTCATGACGTCATACAGCTCCTGGACCTCTTTGGGGTAACAACGCTCCAGCACTGAAAGAGAGGAGAAGAAGAGGAAAAGAGGAGAGGAGGAGAAAAGGAGAGGAGAGGAGTGAGTGGGCAGCAGAAGCAAACGTACATTGCTCAGAAACATGAAAGAAATGACTCTTAGACACTTGAGCGCATCTTAAGTTCATGATTTTTACCAAAAGTGTGAAAAAAGTGAAGTTAGTGAATCTGCATTCACCGCTGAGAAACATCTGTTTACGTATACCTCTGAATATGTTATAATTATATTCATTTGACTAATTCAGAGCCCGGCTGAAACAAACAGACAAAACATATCAACCATCAGATCAGTCTGTAACCTCTCTGCATCAAATGACATCCTCCATCTCTGAGATTGGTCACAGTAACGCTTGTTCTTCGATATGTTTCCACTTTACTCACTGACTCTGTGGACACACACACACTCTGAAGAGTTTGTTGTGTTTTTCTCAAAGCATCGGCCGTGTTGCTGAGTAATAGACAAGTGTCAAAGCCAGAGAGGAAAGCTGTTGTGTGGGTGTGAGAGGAGTGCTCACAAGTGTTTGTGTGTATGTCCTTCAAGTTCCTTTATAAGGCTTTTATATGTGAGCGCTAATTAACAGCTGCCATCTTGGATAAACACATGAAGTCATGCTCTGAAGAAAACAGAGGACAAATATCGTCTTAACGCTGGACATTTATGTGGACGCACAAAAACAACAGTAAACAAACAAAACATCAACTTGACAAGCTTGAATCATTCAGAGTGAGAAGTCCGCACACAGACTGCGGCTCTGAAACAACAACAACACCGGTCAAACTGCCTCCAGCACTCACTGAGACATGATACTGTGAGCCTCCTGGGCTCAGAAACTGCCTCCATTATTGCATGTGACACACACACACACACACTGGCGTGCTCTGTAGAAGCACACACAGTCTTTGACAGTCTCCATGACAACCGGTCTGCAGCTCTACAGCTACTCTGAGTTCCCTTTTGTCTTGAAAGACTGGAGCGATAAGGGAGTGGAGGGAAAAAATGGAGGAGGGCTAACTGTAGGCAGGAGGAAACATAAATCAATCATGAGGGATGAAGAAGTCTTCAACTCCCAGACCTCAGGTTATTTCACAGAGCGCCATGTGGGAGGCAACAACAGGCTGGGGGGGGGGGTCCGCACTTGTTTTAGAAACAGAGTTTAATTGGAGGAGTCCGTTGGTAGCAGCCCCCCTGTCGCTGCCTGCCTGACCTCTGATGCAAAAAACCTCAGAGATGCTAAAAACTGCAATAGAGTGAAATTCAACCTGCGACAGGTGGATCGATAAACAAAGCCCTCCACATTCTGAGCCGATATGCAAGCAGGCTCATCGTATAAGAATCTATTCACAGCTCCATCAGTCGCCACACTTCTGCCTCATGACGGGCTTCAGAGGCTGAGGGGGTAATTACATTGGAGATGTTTGCGTGCATCCATAGAAACCCTGACCAGCGATTTGTCTGGGAGGTATCAGATGCCTCCCTGAGTTGCTATGAATGCCGTCAGAGCCGAGCCCGAGTGAGTTTCATCGGCGTTACGACTTACTCTGGAATTTCCGCAGGTTGATCAGGCCGTGGTCTCGGATTATCCTGGAAGAAATAGAGACGATGTAATAATATGCAAATGAATTTTCTGATTGCAGAGCGCCTTCAAAATTAAACCAGGCAATTACTCACATGTTATTATCTTGGCTGTTACAGTCTATAATGTCATTATGACATTTGAAAACTAAATATATACGTCTTCCCTGTATACAGCAGCAAGACAACATTCCTACAATAATTGGATTTTAAGTCAGACCGATTAAGAGGTATGTGAAGAACTCCCTGAAGGTCAGAGTTCAGGGTTTTGGCATGTGTAACGAGCCTGGAAGTCTTTTGGACATGTTACAAGTTCACAGAGATAAAATAAGGATCATGAGAAGAGGACACATGCCATTCCTCCGTTCTCCAAACTCATTACTGCTGATTTAGTGGCAGATCTTTTACAGGACTGAAGATTGATGGCCTGTGTGTCCAAGCATGACAGCTGACGGGCTAAAGGTGGAGGAGATCCTCGAGAAAGTGACTGACAAGTTTAGGAAAAGGAAGAAAATACTGATACCAGAAAATTAGTGAGGCAAACAACCCTGCCACAAACTACTGTCTATATTTTCTACAAGATCTCTTTCCTCAGCATCTTTTAGCGATAATAACAATTCACTGTTAAATTATTTCCCTCAGTCATTAATTCAAATATTTAAAAGATCATAAAAAAAGCAATAAAACGCTGTTCTTAATTTCTCTAAAACCTGATGCCGTTTCTGTTCAACTTAATGATACTTTTAAAGAATGTGGTTTTCATTCCTCTTAAATTATTTTGCTTTATAAGAGATGTTTCTGCTTCTTCGGTTGTTTTTGAGTTTATTGCAGGACTGCTGTATAAAGATGCACTCAATCCCAGAAAGCACTGACAGTTATCGTCTATCATCTCTCTTATTTCTGATGGTTAATCTGGGGAATAAATGCCATCATTACAGTAATTCTGGTGTTGACAGCATTTACGTCAGCAAGGTAAACGTCTCATTCTGGCTTCACTTTAGTGGTATGACCCCAAATGAACAAACTTTGTCAGATCATCATGGAGGAAAAGGAAACAACTTTTCAGATGTCATGACTGTAAGAATAACTTTATTTTATCCCCGAAGGATAATTCAATAAATTCAATAAATAATAAAATAAAATAATAATAATAAAAAATAATAAAACAGATTAATTAATAAAAAATAATAAATGAAATAAAATTATTATGATAACAATAATAATAATGATAATATAATAAATAAAATAAAATAAAATAAAATAAAATAAATTCAGTCTCATGTGTTTCACTTGCTTTTGCTTTCAACATGTTTTTCCTGCATAAATAATGAAACATCCCTGTTCATAACTACAAAGACAACCACACTTCCCATGCTGAAAATCCAGACCCCCCATAGATTCTGCATTTTCATGTAAAATCTATAGAGACTGAGATTTGCCTAATAAAGGGGGTGCTCGAGTAAACGCACTTGCACGTAAGACACACAAGGCTACAAATCAAAGAGAGAAGCTGAAACTACAAAATATTTCTTTTTCCTCCAAAGCTGATAACCAACTGATCATTAAAACGTTGTCCTTTTACCTATCCTCTGACTGCATCAGCTTTATTTTACAGAACCAGTCATAAAATTCAACAAGCGGCCGTTACATTATGAGCCTCTGAGGCAATCTAATGCGACCCGATATAACTGCATATCTTTGTAAGGCATTCTTTTGTGAAATTAACCGTGCATAAAAAAGGTGCAACTTTTATACTCGATTGACTCTTAAACGTTTCAAAATCCTGTTAAAAATGTTGTGAATGGTGGCTTTATAAAAAAAGCAAACATTCAGATTAGCACAGATACATTTCTTCTGCACTTCTTCAGTTATCTGGGGCTTGATAAAGGTTCCCACAGCTACTTTGTTGCAGCCGCATGAATCCCTGTGACTTGAAAGCCTGAAAAAGCTTTAAATATTCAATTATATTCACATCACTGATTCTCTAACAACCTCCGTCTCCCAGGACGTGTGTCTCTGAAGCACTTTTAACAAATAATTAAAAGTTTAGATTACAAATTATGAATATATAACCATTATGAATTGATTAATATTAAAAAAGATACAGACAAGGGGTTTAAATGATTTGCCTTGTAAATTTTAACTCAGTATGAAATGCATTTATTAAACATGAAAGCATAAATGAGTATCCGAGGAAAATGGGGCTCTGACAGGCATTTCCAGGAGCCTATAATGCCATCTACTGATAGATGGGGGTTATTACACAAATGCATTTATTCTGCATCCATCTGAGTGAATGAAAAAAGGACCTACTTTTTCCTCCGCTGCCTCTCTTTCAATCTTGAATGATATATGTCGACAACTGAGAGCTTGAGAGCTGAAACAGAACGATATATTAAAGTTACAGTGTGATTAAACCATTACCTTAGTCGATTAAAAACAAGACTGAGTGAGATTCTACCCACCACGGAGGATGTCTGAGTCATCATCCACGAAGTCGATGTCTTTTAAATCCCATTCTGCATAGTTGTCAAACTCCTATCAGAGAAAAAAGGCTCTCATCATCTCCTGCTTTGATCAAACTTTACTTATAATCGACCGATGCTCAGAGATAACACTCAGACTTCAAAACAGTTTATGCCTGAAAGCAAACAATGGCAAAAGTTAACAACTACAGCATGAGTCACTGTTTCAATATAATCCAATAAAGAGCTTCTTGGAGCACTTTCCTTTGTTTGATCATGTTGATAATAATAAAAAAACACATTAATCTCTCCCTCACCTCCATGAAGTCTGCTCTGGCAGGCATGTATCCGGCCATATCTCGAGACAGCACTGAGTCAAATGTGGGCCGAGGGGGGTCATCTGAGGCTACAACAGGGATAAACACACCGTGGATTTAGATGCATCAGCATTTCAACGTGAAGATGAAATATTAGAGACTGACCGTTATTGCATTTCTATCTGCATGAACATGAGAGTGTTAAGTCTTTGTCAAGCTCTCAAACACTGTGACAGACGGAGGCCTGAAGCCTGATAGAAACTGTGACTGTGAGTTCTTAACTCGCCAACTGTTTCTGTCACAATAGCTGGAGGCTTTCAGGCTTAAGGGGACTTTTAACTTCAGTTTCTCATGAAAATCTTCATTTTTGCTACTCTAGAAATCAATCTGGAAAACTAGCATTTCAAAATATTGTCAAAATTTAAGTCTAGTATTAACAGCAGACCGGATGAAACAACTAATAACAAAGCTGTTGTGACGACGGTTTGATCTGTGCTGGTTCTGGCTCCTCCTGTACAAATGTATCACTCACTCTAAATACTCTCTTTACAAAAACAATCAAAAAAGTCTTTTTCTTCAGCCTGCTGTCAATCATCCAGTGTAAACCTACCCCCTCTTAAAATGACCACAAAGAAGTTACTCTTGTTGCTGATGGTCCGTTTGCTTTTGAACATCAGTTTAAGTTTCTCTACCGGTTAAAAACTCCCCATAGTGCCTTTAAATACTGGCTATTCCTCTAACTACATGTTGTAAGAGTTGTACAGTTTTAAAGGACTTCTTTTTTTGTTCCTTTTTTCAAATGAGTAAGCACTTTGTGTGGATACTGACGTTTAAAAGGAATAGCACCCTCAGCAAAGCAGGAGTCTTTTGTTTTGCGTAGGCTCAGCAAGGTCGAGGAGAAGAGCGGGTTGTTGATGAAGTTCTTCATGTAGTGGCTCTCGCATTCCTCTTTGGTTTTAGTACGCATCTGATAAGCCACATCCTGCCTGCAGAAGAAAAAAGGCACAAATAACAACTTCAGAAAACTTTATAAGACATGAATTATCCACTGACTTTCCGGTCGATCTACGTGCCGACCCTCACCTATTATTATAAACTTTGGGTAATGACCGAAAGAACAAGATTGCGGATAAAAGCAGCCGAAATGAGTTTCCTTCGCAGGGTGGCCAGGCTCAGCCTTAGAGAAAGGGTAAGGAGCTCGGACCCTCGGGAGGCGCTCAGAGTAGAACCGCTGCTCCTCCATGTTGAGAGGAGTCAGCTGAGGCGGCTTGGGCACCTGGTTAGGATGCCTTCTGGATGCCTCCCGTTAGAGGTGTTCCAGACATGTCCCACCGGAAGGAGACCTCGTGGCCAGCCCAGGACCAGGTGTAGGGATTGTATCTCGATGACGACGAATTATCCATTGGCTCACTCTGTTCACTGTGAGTCTAGAGTCCAAATAATGACTCAAATTCTATTCATACAACACAAGTGTCCTCAACAAAACGAAGTAAAACATCACTGTTTTCAGTTTACTTTGATACTCGTGTTTGTTCTGAAGGGACATTTTTTGGGGCTAAGAATTTATTGTAAATTAAAGACTGTCTATGTAAAATCTCATTTTGGTCTGGAGGCTAATAGGTGCTTAATTTCACATTCAGCAAACAACTAAAGTTGAGGAGCATGCAGGGCGCTGAGTCTGTCTTTTATCTAAATTCATGGATTTTATTTTGTTATTAGTAATACAGTCAGTTAGACTTATATCTAACTTTGAAATACTAGTGTATGTTTTGATGCACACACAGATTTAAGTTTTGGATGAAATAAAAGAAGCAAAGAGAGCAATCCAAGGCAACATGTAGACTGTGAAGTATACCTTTTCCAGCGTTAATGAACCCGGCACCAAAGTTACACCCCAAATAAAAGCATCCAACCATCAGACTGGCCCGGATGGTCGTAGCTTGAAGAGCTTTGACCAAATGAAACACTCACCAGTTTCCAAAGCCACAGTCCATGACTGCCTCTAACAGGGCCATCTCCTCCTGCGCCGTCCATCCTGGCTCCAGAACAGGAAAGTCTGATGTCTGTAATACAAGAATAAATGGTGATGTTTTTTTAATCTTGGTGTTATGCTCTTGGATGGTCGGTAGTATGAGTGGAAAGGAAAACTCTCAAACAGGATGTAAATTCTCAAAAAAATGAGGAGAAAACTTATTATGCCATATCAGCATAACACAAACATGTCAAATTAATGAAGCACTTGGCAAAAATATCCCCTGCAGAGGAAGAAATTAGTCCAAAAATAAGTCCAACAAAAACAGGCTCTCATCACAGCCTCACATCTCTCAGACTGCTGATTGCACTCAGCCTCATATGCTCTGCTATCTGCAGCATTAATCACCGCCTCACTGACTTCAGGTGTGTCCACTCTCACCTGCAGACAGTCTAAATGAGAGAAACTGCACAATCACAAAAAGGGAAAACAGAATTCTCCAAGGGACAAAAAAATTACACACACCCCGTATTTAGAGGGGCCTGTAAAACACATATGCATCAGTGGCGATTGCTCTAAGACTGCAAGGGAAGCTCAGCCTTCCTTAAAATGTCACCCCCCAAAAAAAAGAAAAAGTGGTGAAATACGTATGGCTGTGTGTACATTTCATTAACTAAATACGCGCTAGAAAGCCTTCATCTTTTGTTCAGACACTGTGATAAGAAGCTGATAATCACAGGTAACCGGCATAACTTCGTTCTCATTCATCCTCGCAGCGCCTCAGCGCTTTAAACAGCCGGACGCTGGGCTTCTGCTGACTTCAATGTGGAAGCTCAAAGTGGGTTGTTCCAGCAGCGAAACTAGACGCTCATTGGATAAATGCTGGGCTTTGTCCCGCCCATCGGAAGCCCAGCTTCACTGGAGTTCTATGGCAAGAGGGCGGTCCCGACTTTCTCCCGGACTCCGAGCTTCTGCATCCATGATTGGATGAGCTGTCTGAGGCGAAATCCTTTTTTGATTGACAGCTAAACAAGCGAATCAGCGATCTTGAAGAATAAAACATCTATCAGAGCATTTTCCAAGTTATTCATTCCGTTGTTCTTAACTGCTCCGGAGACTTTACCGATCCTCAGCGACTTTGGTCTTTGTTAAAAATGACTGCCGTTGTGTTTGGCGACTCTGTTCTGTTACATACTAATAAACAAATACAATTATGATGTAGGCCAGAAAAATGAGCTTCCCCTCCTTGAAAGACCAGCAGCCGCCACTGATAATATAATATGCCTTAAACCTATATTGCTTGGGTGCTTTAGGAATGTGCACCTTCCTTTTGCCTTAACGATAATTGGTGAGAACTTTATGGCCTCAAAACACATGGGTATCTGTCTCTGTCAAACAGATCACTTGTATTTCACTTACCATGATTTCATATTTGTGATCACTCTGATGCTTCTTGTACTCAAATCCTCTGGTGAAACACTGGAATAAAGCAGAATTTCAGTTATAATGGGTGGTCTGATGACTAATAAGAGCTCTCATAATGTGTGTGTGTGTGTATTATGTGTATACTGTGTGTATTATGTCCACACTCACCTGGAGGCAGAGGAGAAAAGGTGCAGGTCCACACTCTGCACACTTAACATAAGGCTCAGTGAGATAGGATGAGCAGCCTCTGCACGGTGGTTTATCAAAAGGATCATCTGTGAAATCAAACACACACATTAACAATCATAAACTTTAATGTTTTAACAGAATATCTTGTTAAAATCAGAATAAAACAGTCTCCAACTGTGTCAGAGATACTGAGGCCTCTCTGAAACCAGGTGGTAAACAAACCAGCGCATGAAAACAGCAAATAAAACACCTTAACGATACAAAAACAGGTTTACTGCATGGACTGTTAAATAATTCACAGTCACGAAAATGACCACTGGACTAATTTTATCTGAAAAATACGAGTCTAAATGTGGAAAAAGAGCAAAGCTGGATGTCGTGCTAATGTTAGCAAGCTACAGTAGAGCTAATGTGGCTAACCTGAGGTAGCCTGAAAAAGAAGGATGTTGTTTAACATGAACCTACAGGAGGAACATTTAATAATAACGAAAAATGTTTATACTTACTTCCAAAAGATGCCAAACGGTCCATAAGAGAGTGTTTACTGAATCTGATGATAGAATGGGGATTTTAATTTTCTTCTTCTTCGGGTTTAAGCGGCAGCTGTTTTTCCTTTCTGCCTCAGTGCTGCCACCTTCAGGCGATGGTTCGAAGTGAAGCCTCACAGTCTACCGGTGCTTTAAAAAACAAAACAAAACAAAACTGGGCTTCAAGTGTCAGACCTCTGTCTTTAATTCTCTTTATTTTGCGTTTATCAGTCATTACTCATTGCTACAGGTGAACGCTGTAACAGAAATAGACAAATAATATTATGATAATGCCAGGTTGACATCCTCATGACCTAAAACCTTGGTTCATGTTGTGTCCATAAATCTGTTATTTGGAGTGGCTATTATTTTATTATATTGTTTATGTGACCACGGCTTATCACCAGCGGGCACAGCCGATAGTTTTATGCACAAATACGTAAAATAATCCCTTCGTTTGAAGGACTTTATTACAACCATGGACTGTATAAAGAATATGATAGTATATAGCGTGATAATAATAATTATTAAAATAATAATAATAATAATAATAATAATAATAATAATAATAATAATAATAAAAGTATATATACAGTCTATGGTTACAACAGGCTAAAGTTTCAGATCAAATCCTCTCCACATGCTTTAGTTTTGTCAAACTGAAGCCAGTATGTGCCATTTTACAAAGTGGTCAATTTTTTTAAATTTTTTTTTTATTTCGGTAGATATTCAAAATTTACCCAAATAGTGTAATTGTGTCCTCTTTTAATTTATGTGGGGGTACAGTAAATTTAGGCTATCAGGCCTTCCGCCAGCAGAGAGCGCTGCTGTCATGTAAATTTCTCGGGATCAAGAAAATAAACCACAGCCAGCTTCCAGTTCTACTTACTCCACAATATTTAGATTACTATAATTATTAAATTGAGCTGTAAAGTTTGATCCAAATGTATTTATTGATTTATACTATTTTTGATGAATACAATCATAAAATAATGCCCAAATATGAAATTTGGGAATTGCCGTTGCTCAAAAGTATTTCAAACAAGTGTGAAATTAAAAAATATGTGAATTGTGGATGGATAGATAGGAACTGAACTCAAAGAAATACACATTATTCACAAAAGTGTGCATGCTCTGATACAACAGATGAAACAGTAATAAATAAAAATACAGGTGGGATCTCTAAGTGTTTTATTACAAAATCATGACTTTACAGGTAAAGTCAAATAAGTAATTTGAAAGAACTGTGAGTTTCAGCAGAACTGACATTATCTGGTTGTCTGTTGCAGAACTGAACTCTGCTTCTCCATGTTGGTTCCGACTATGAGGACAGATGACCAGAACAGTCCGGATGGCCCGTTTGTGGTATCGGGGCTCTGATCTGATTTTTTAAGACCCGTGAACATACTATAGCAGTAATCGAGCTAAATGAAGACAAATGGATGGACCGGTTTCTCCAGGTCCTGCTTACACACAAGTCCTCTAATCCTTGACATAAGCTTGTTGTTGTTCCTCTTACACTTTCACTTAGTTTTGTTAGACATAGTCATCGACAGTTTTTCATCTTCTGCTCATTTCTAAACAGACTAAATGAACCCAAATAACTGTAACCTCTGTTTCCTACTTTGTTTGGTTTTTAAAATCAATAATAAATCATGACAAACCCCCCTCAGAATGATATTGTTTAGTTTTATTAGTGTTATTAGTTAAATCAAGTCCTCCTCTGCTCCAGGCTTTAATGTTGACAGTATTTTCCATCTTTTTTTGCCGTGTTTTCAGATTATATTAAAACTGTGACTTTTTACTGTCCACCCCAGCAGTAGATCAGTAAGCGTGTAGTAAAAATAGAATTTATGAGATTAGACTGTACTCTGTTATTGAATAAGAAATGCTTTATTTCCCAATATGCTTCTTTTTTTGCTCAAAATAAAAGAGACAATATTTAAATGACTCATGTGGACATTTATTCATCTCAGCAAACTTCAGAGATGAGAGCGAGTCCGATCATTCTCCGCTCCACCATAGAGAGGCGATCTTGCGTCACTTCTGCGTGGAAAACAATAAGCTCATTGCAAGTCTCTCTTTGTCTTTCTCTGAGCAAACAGCACCACCTGAGCCTCTTATAGGCCAGTTTGAATTAGGCTGGATGAGGGTAACAGGAAGATGAGCACAGACCCCTCTACATTACACACTCCTTCACTGCAGTTTGTTTTTCTTCCATAAAATCCCTCCCACTATCGCCTGACTTTCTGGAGTGCTGCTTTCTTTGAAAATTTCTCCCTGATGCAATAAATATCTATTAGCTCTGATAGTTTCCAGTGCTTGTGTCCAGCTTTGGGCCTTAAATCAAATGTGAGAAATGCACAAAGAAAGACCTGGCAAAACAGATTTCTCAAAACCCCAGAAGGTTTAACTCTAACTCGGCTTGTGTCAAAACCAATTAAAGTAAGTGAGAAAGTGTGTTTTGGTGGTAATTTGGCTAAAATTACTCTTTTATTTAGCACAGATGTGGCATTAGCAGCTGGCTGGAAACACTTGAATCTCAAATATGCTTGCACCAGAGACATGTAATATTAACCAAGCCCATCACTTTACGACCAAAGCGCATTTATAGTGACATTTAAGGCGTAGTTGTTATTCTATGACATTATATGTCATAAAATCTGATGTTCTGCACTTAAAAACTCTCTAATGGGCTCTGAAAAGGGAGTTATTATGTTTTCTGAACTGCAGATTGGGTTAAATTTGAGTGTCCTCCTTCCCTCTTGTTACCTCTGTGAGGACGATCCACAGTGACAAGTGCGTTCAGCTGCAGTGTGCGCTGGGTCTCGTCTCCTGACCCTCAGGGGCTGCCTTGGACCTCTGTGAAGCGACTCAGTCAGCATGAGAGCCGTGAGCAACAGAGATCCATGAGTAATGACAAAGTGCCCCCCTCCATCCTGCCACAGACTGAGCACAATAAAAGGACAGTTGTACTTTCCCCTCAGTGGGATTTCTAGCTAACTGCCAGAGCACGGTTTGTTCAACGATCCTGTGAAAGCGTTATGATTTATTTATCTTTCAGAGAGGAACTTCTCTTTTCTGTGTGACAGTTGGCAGAACAAGGTAGACGTTTAAGTCGCCTGGTCTTACTCAGAGATACTTAAAACGACTGTTAGCTGAGACACTAAAACTTCTGTTCATGCATTATGCATAAGGACAAAAGTTTGTGGACATAACACCCATTTAAGCAAGCAATATTTCCTGTTCAGGAGCAGTAATTTTCCTCTTATCCTATATGTTTCCTGAGTTTCCTGAGTTCTTGTCCAGAACTGTAACATCAGACTACTGTCAGAAACTGTACAGTTCATATGAGCCATTTTGCTGTATCTCTATTTTGGTCTATAAATAAATGAATTAAAATTGCATGCATCCTTTTGGGGTGCTCACCGGAATTCAGGGGAGGGCCAAGGCCACCTCTGGCCACCCTTATAGCACTCTCACCCTTCAAGATAGCTCCACACATGGGGAGCTGACAGCCTTGCAGTCTTAGTGCCCTGCATATAGAGGCTTTGGTCACAGCGGCTGCTGGTTCGATTCCCTGCTCTTCCCCCCATTGCTATTCAGCCGTGCAATTTCATAATCGTAAACATGGTCAACATATAAATCCAAAAATAAAATTAAAAAGGAAGATCTACTTTCGGGGAAAATAAAGTACCTGGAACTAATTTAAACCTCTGTCCCTGCACCAGGAATGTGAAAACTAGAATTTTTTCCAAGGACTCCTAGACCCTGTTAAAAGTTTGTGGGGTGGAAATGCTGCTGAATTCACATTACTCATTCCCAGACAGCAGGAACTTTCCTGAGAAAGTTTTTGAGGAACTTTTGAGTCTTATTGTAGTGGAGAGGTAGTTGGTCTACTCTTTGAAAAGTCCATCTTTAGGGGATGGTACTTTCCAGGCAGGGACCCACGGTCTGTGGGGGTCAGGGTCTGAAGAAGATCCGCTTTACATTTAAAAAATGTCCTTTATTCACATGAGCACAGTGGACAGAGGAGGGGAGAGGAGCCCTGCTGCCTTCTTAATAAATCAAAATTCTCTCTGCAAGTCCATTTGAATGCCAGGGTCAGCATATGTTGGAGCATACTGTAAAAAATCACGCCTTGGCGGTGAATATGGGCTGAGTCAATTATCCACATGGTGACTAACAAAGAAAATAATGTCAGCCTCACAGAGAGTGACATGTGTGCTCCCCCACGACGGCCCCTGCTGCAGCATCACTGCCTGCGGGCGGACAACCTGCTGTCTCCTCCAGCCACATGCCACCCCCGCCTGCCCACAGTGCCCCTCTCTCTCTCTCTCTCTCTCCCTCACTCTCTCTTTCTTTCTGCAGCTTCAAAGCTGAAGAAAAAGGGCCTGAAAGCACAGGCAAACCCCCAGCCTGCAGGCTGCACACTGCGCATGTGGATCAAAAACAGAGATCCCTGTGGTTCTTCTGTTATAGGCGCATGCCAGATTACACTTCGGCCAAACAAATGCACACCCTCAACCCCCATTACATCTTTAAAACTCCCCCTGTCTCTGCCCACTTCTTTGCCTCTTACTAAAGCACTTCCCAGCTGCTGTGATTTGAATATGAGGGCCCCCTGAAGAAAAGAGGGCATCTGGCACACGCCTTGGAGGCCAAGAAAAAAAGAGTTAAACTGCTCCTGTCATGGAAATGTTCTCAAACAAGATTAAGCCTCTTTAAGAATAAAAAAAGAAAAGAGGTAAAAGAGGCCTTAAATAACCCCGGACAAATCACAGCTCAAAGACACACCTGATAACGTTGACAACCTCACAATGAACGGCAGTTTTTAGTGGATGTACATTTCCAGAGCTTCACTTCACTGATTGAATTTGTGTGTAAAGGTTGACACAGAAAATCGTCGTTCTTCTGTTTGAAATTAAGGACGTGTCGGCTGTAATTGCGTAATCACTCTCTAAAGGATGCTTTCAGCTCAGATTTATTGAGCTACCTGACCCC